GACACACCCACCCCAACTTTCGGATATCGACTGTATATGTGCTATATTACGTCCCGCATAATATAGCGCTCGCTGCAACTTGTCCGCTGACTCGTTTGTTCTCTGCCTTCTCGACGCCTGCTGTCGGTTGCCTAGTGCATTCGATGTTTATTATGTCGTACAGTAACGCTAACTTTGACAGATAGCATCGCTCTTGTAGGTGCAGATTAATCCGCTCAAATGGTGGGACCGCCGGTCCCTGACGGTGACTATTTGGTCGTGAGGCCATTTGACTAAAAGTTTCACCTAACCTCTTATAGCACAATAAACATAGAATTTTCCTCAGTGTTATGGTTAATGAAAGGTACCTGCAATCCTATTTTCGACAACATGACTAACAATGAAACATAACATCTTCAGTTTTCAGTCATAGGTGGTTTCGCTAAATCAGTATTACAGTTATGTGACCGTTTTTCGTTAAGGCTTCACGATCATCTTGACATGAAGGAATGTCTCTGCTCAGAACAAAGATACTGCCATTCCGGTCATTCGCGACGACGAGCGTCGTCGTTTACTGGATCTTCTACTTTTTCTTTAGCCCTGCTTGTTGCACTGTACATAGCATGTTAGATCGGGAGCGTATAAAACAGAGAATGCTTAAACTGTGGTATTTGCTCATGTATAGAATCGGTCTACGTCTCTTATGCAATAGAAAACTGTAGGCATGCTGCGTTCAGTAGCTTTGTTCGAATCTCATGGCGTTCGGAATTGAGCTGTATGACTAATAAGAGAAATTTGTGAAATGTTTTTGATCGACTCCGCTCCTAATTGAGCCTACTGATTAATATGACCATGAATGTATGTATAATTGTCACCACCACACTGCTTCATTTTAACATGGTACCGATGAAATCCTACATGCATTAATCACTCACATGTGCATGCCATCCACGTCGAAATATCTAATAAACTAAGTTGTAAAGGACTCAAAATTTATTAATTGCACAATCACCTCGACATGAGTTAAGATATTTGTACTGGATTTACAAACACTCATGGAGGGCTGACGCTAGTCCATCCTCAAGAGGAAACCCGTGATAAAGCCTATGTCTTGGAAAGAGAAAGATGAGCAGGGGGAGGGTACAGTGATGCCCAAGTAGACGATATGTCCGCTATATCCGCCCTTCCGTGGAATAATGCGTCCTTTTGACAAAATTTGATTTTAATAATTTCGTGTTGCACGATGAAGCGTGGCAGCCGAAATCAAGATAGCCTACCTACCCAGACGCATGTTGTGTTTTCTTCTCAGGTCGTTTATTTTCATATCAAAGCCGTTCTACAATAATCTAAGTGTGTAAGCCTTCTATCGCTCACTTATTATCACTCAATCTGGGCGCGCGACGATTTAAATCATTAAGATCATAATTGATAAACAACTACTGATAGTATTTGATCGCAAAAAAGAACTGGTTGAAGGGAAAGCCGAATCGCCACGCCTAACTTGAACTCGTCCGCCTGGGCTTCTATGAGCTAAATTTCGCCATATTGCCTCAATATAATTTGATAGTTGAGCCCGGATTTCTCTGTGTTTGCCCTTTTGTTTTTTTTTCTTAAGGCGCATATCGGACCCGTCTACGCGCAGCGCGGCATACTGCTTTGATTCCTCCGCTTCAAAGTATATACACTATAAAGAACTGTAATTGCGCCACAATCTCTCTTATCCCCTGTACTTGCGATACCAGCTCGCGCATATAAAACGAAAAATTAAGAAATCTGGTTCTGTTTGATATGTAGGTCTTCAAGTTTCTTGTGAGACAGCAGACAGCTGCAAATCAAAGCTGGTCTCGAAGCTTCAAAAATTCACGCGAATAACACGAGTTTGTGGTTTTTTCTCGCGTTTTTGCTACAAGTCGGTCAAGAACGAGTATTCTAAGAGCAGAAATAAAGCGTAGAACTTATCTTGTCTTGAAATTGTCAAGCTGTACAAGATGTTGCCTGAAAGTTTCGAAAAGGGTCAATCCGCATTACATCACGCACTCGATTTATATCTCGGGGGCTAACTGGAAAGATAAGCCGCGCATGAAATAACTAGATAACCACAGGGCGGAAGTGTCTACCGTTTGCTTCAGGATGCACCGCATACTTGACTTAATCTAGATTACTGTGGAGTAAATTGGACATTTCCTTCATGAATTCCGAGGTCTCTCTTTCTTTTGATTGATCTACGGTGTATACCTCGCGCTCAACAATTCTCTCAAGCGGAATTCCTAAAGTCAACCTATTACTACTACAGGGATCTGGGGCCGTATGCAACAAGCCCAAGGTCTTATTGCATACGACTTCGGGGATATATCCCTGAAGTCGTATGCAACAAGCTCCGAAGCTGGTCGGGGACATATCCCCGACGACCTTAGGGGCTTGTTACATACGGCCACTAATCTCAAATTTCTACTGGAACATGAAAGAAGGGAATATATAATATTGTGCGCAGTGCATTGACCTTTAGCACTTCTAAATGAAAGTGAAATCACGGAATCAATAGGGACAAGTGTGGCACTATTCACCTTCACTGTACCATACATTCTTCGGAATCTAATAATAAAATCTATTCTCGGAAATTCTGATGAAGATGGATTTGGGTGAAAAGTTATCCGGGAAAGTAGCTCGATCCGTAGAATACGAGTGCCCTAATTTCCGGTAGACAAGCCCTAGCCAATGTCTCGTAAAAACACCTCCGCTCGTGCAGTGTGCCGCGATACCTAGCGACTACCGTGACTTCCACCATAGTGGTAATTCGATGCCCCGATTATGAAAATGAAAACAATAATTCAAATGAAAATAATGGCCGTGGCGTCATGGCATCAACTTGCGTCACACGACACGACACAGTTTTCATCAAATTTGGTGTAAACTTCGTGTAGGGGTTAATTGGTGCATGATTACGAAAATGACATTCGTTTTTGGCCTTAGTGTTATTAAACGCTATTTCCCGAGCTAAGCGTTGGAAGCGCAGACGAGCGGAAAAAGCGCCAAATGGCGCCAGCGCCGAGAATGAATGTCATATTCGTAATCAGGACACCAAATAACCCCTATACGAAGTTTACACCGAATTTGGTGAAAACAAGGGTCGTGACAAGGTGACGCCAACTGGCGCCAGATGGCGCCACCGCTAAAAACGAATATTTTCGTGATCAGCATATCGAATTACCTCCTATGGCAATGTTACGGTAGTCTCTAGGTGTACGCAATTACACTGCACGAGGTGGAGTGTTTTACGTGACATTAGCTAGGGCTTATCGACTTGAAATTAGGGCGTCACATCCGTAGGCTTGAAAAGTTTTCGCGCCCGCACCACAGGTGCCATTTGCCACCTTCGTCTGGCGCCGACATCTTGAGTAAGCTAAAACAGTTTTTTAACAAATGAATACGATAGCTGGAATTGTTTGATAGTAAAAGATGTAAGGGGTCACCTGTATCACCTGTCGTCCCGTTGATCATCGAATTTGCTCGAGCGGGCGCCAGCAACGTCTCCATTCGTCCCTGTCGCGTGCAAGAGTTGTCCAGAGGACCAGGGTCAAGCGTGCGTTGAGGAATCCTCGACATGTCACAGAGGGGGGGGTCGTATTGGCCCGCTGGGGAGAGATCGGGCCCGATTGATACAGTAGGATCATCGTCGGAGGACAAACATTAAGGATCGAATCGATACCAGGCCAGAGTATTTCCAATAACAATTGATTCCGTCCACACAAAATCTTCGTGATTTAGAGGTGTCCGCTTAGCAATTCTTAGTGACTTTAGTGTTTCATCACCACACAAGTCAAAGGATCCGAAATTCGCACGTTTTCTAGGGATATTTTATCTTTCAAGTAGGTCCTCAAATCCAACGAGATGTGAAGCACACGGCGCATCCCAGAGTGGGCCCAGTTGGTTGCGCGCGCTTCAGCTACGGCTATCTTGATAACGAATCTTAATTCAGGAAGAATCAAGAGGGTTCTGAAAGAGTTCATGTTAAATTACAGAGATGTGTAAACTATTCAACATGAAACGCAGCCTTCAGCGTCAAATTCACAAGCATGTAACCTTTAAAGTTGAGACCCGCTAAACAATATTATACTTTTTGCAGAGAGAAAAACACGAGGATTTTGAATTGCTCCTACTTCAGTGTGTAATCGCTGCAAGGAGCTATAGTCGTTGGGATAGTGCTAATGTAGCGAAAAAGTACCTTTCGGCGGTACTCGGGCAAAAATCCTCAACGTGGCCATTTTTTAAATAGTGAACGTATTTAGCAGTTTTAGCCTATAGAAAGAGCAAATCTTCTAGTTTATGATGATCATCACGAATTTTCCTCGTTAATTTTGCAAAAATCCTCAACGTGGCCATTTTTTGAGTACTGGACGTATGAAGCTGCTTTAGCGACCGTTTGATAGAGAAAATCTTCTAGTTTTGTATGACGTATCAACTTTTTGAATTTGACGGAAATGAAGCAAGTTATTGCTCCGGAAAGTGTAAAAACTCGTGCTCGTCTCGAATTTTCCTCGTTATTTGATCTAAATTTGTTATTTCTTATAACTTCCTGTAATTTCAGTACTGATTAGAAAAAGCTCTTCACAAAACTCCCAAATCAGCTTTCAGATTGAAAATTCGTTAACTTTGAAGAAAGTTATAATCATTTGAATATTTGTTCAAATTTCAATAGTAATAAGCTGCTCCCGTCAACGCCAAAGACAGGGCGGGTGGCAGCAAGCCAACTAGGGAGGATCCCACGTTGGGGGATATGTCCCCAACTTGGGAATATCCACTGGGGACATCCAAGTTGGGGACATATCCCAACGTTGGGGATCCTCCCTTCCAGACTAGGCGAGGGATACAGGTTGGAGATGTATCGCAAGTTGGGGACATATCGAACTAGGGATACATCCCCAACCTTGGGGACATATCCCCATCCTCGACATTCTACAAGAATCGTTCAAGGGTTTCGCCGCAGGACCCAGGCTTCCGCACCTCGAAGGGATGCTACGTAAAAATCTGGGGCCGCACGCATAGTCGGTCGTCCGACAGCAACGATCGCAAGTGTCGCACAGTATTAGGTGCGTATCGATCGTCAGAAGTGCGACACTTACGACCGCAACGATCGTTGCTGCCGGACGACCGACTATGCGTGGGGCCTATGGGCGTCTGCGAAACGGCAGTCGCGACGCGGCTGTGTTACTGGAGCGCGCCAATCATCCACCAGTACTGTTACGGCCGTTAGGCCCTGTTCAGAGATGTCCGCTTACGCGAAAAAACGCACAGGCGAAAATCTCCGCCAAGATTTAGATAAGCATCGATTGATAAATTGGGAAACGCGTAAGCGAAACGTCCGGAGCAGGCGAATTTCAGTCAAGAGTTTGATATGTATCGACTGTGAGAAACGCACAGGGCGAAAATCGCGTGAGCGAAACGTTCGGAAGTCGATACGTATGACACTCATTTTCGTCGATCCTCCCACTTCACGATTCTCCTACGCGTCGTCGCTCAGTCGATACATATTTTATTTTATTTCGCCTTTGCGTTTTTTCGCCTAAGCGGACATCTCTGAACAGGGCCTTATACTTAGGCAGTGTTCACAGTTTGCGCCACACGAGGAGGACGCTTGAAACGAACGAATCTGCGCAAATGCGTAAAGAATTAAATGCGTATCGATCCACAAAATGGGAGGAGCGTCAAATCGCGCATTCGAATCGAATCCTCTGAAAGAAGTGAGTGTCCATCGTCGAGCCAATCGGAGATCGTCAGCATCGACAACGCGAAACGACGGTGCAAAAATCACAGCAACGTAATAGGGGTGCTCTTCAATGTCGACACGCATCTAATCCTTTTCGCATTTGCATTCGCGCGTGCGCAGATTCTTAAGGTTGATATGTATCTGATTCTTTTCGCAAATTTGAATATTCGATAATTTTAAAACTGTGAACAGTGCTTAGAAAACAGCGAATGAACAAAGGCAAGGTAATGGACGAAAAAAGAAAAGCGAATAACGAAGCGAAAAAGGGTGAAGAAACCCGAAACTGCCTTCAATTCTCCGCGTCGCCAAGTGAGGGGACGAATCCCCCTAGTCTCGACTAGGGGGATATATCCCCTGCCTGCAGAGACGCAGAGGGTCGACGGCAGTGACCGTCCCGCACGGTTGCGTCATAGGAGCCACCGAAAAACGATGGGTCTTGCGACGAAGTAGGGGATATATCCCCAAGGTTGGGGATATCCCCAAGGTTGGGGATATATCCCCAAGGTTGGGGACATATCCCCAAGGTTGGGGATCCCTCCCTCACCCAACGAGGATACGTCCGCCAACCTTGGGGATATATCCCCAACCTTGGTGCGCGCATAATCTGTGTAGTACTAGAATTTGGTAAGTCTTGTGGAGGAAATAAACAAAGAAGAGGTGTTGTCATAGTACGCCATTTCTAGTGACTAGTTTGACGTTTTTTGCTCCGTTTCTCGTTTGCTCGTTTGACAGGACTCGTCATTAATGATCATTCTTTGACTTTTTCACTTTTATACTTTTAAACGAGTTTTTTTGTGGACGATGGGGTAGCAGGGCTTTTTTATGAGCAGTTTTGGTGGAGAATTAAACAACTTTTTCATAGTTCGGCTTTTAAAGAGGGTTGTTTCATGGACTTCGGCCTTCGGCAGAGGGAGGGGGGGTCGTATTTCCGAATTTTCCTCGACGCCTCGCTTGACCCTGCAGAGGACATCTCGCTCGAGGATAACGAAGTCTTCACTCCTCTCGTGAAGAGCTTTATTGAAGAAGTCTGATCATCGATCTGCCATCAATATGTCGAAAACAGCAAGGAAACATATTCGCGAACCCGAGCGGCTAATTCAATTACTAGACGTCTATGCTTTATGCTTCTCAGAAGTGTATTGCACGGTTCACCGTTGTGGAGGTTCAGGTTATGAAAAATCAAGTTTCTTACTTGACAACCGTCACAATACAGAAAAACAAGATGAAATTATAACCTATGCTAGATTAATGAGCGATACAAGAAGAAAAGCTCCTACTAAGGGTGCTAATTTATTTCCAAGCTCCTCAAAGAAAACTATGGTTATTTCCATTTCTACCGCAGCATTCCTCAGTTCGGCAGGCGAGACGGCGGCCAGCGGGAGTTCTGCGGGAAGCAGTAAACGTGCTTCCTTCTCCTTCGAGGAAGAACGAACTGCTTCTGTCTCTTCTCGGCTCCATCCATGTTTTCGCGCCCTTCCTTTCCCGCGCCCTCCCGCCTGCGTATCACTGCGTACCATGCACAATTATTAACGGCATATTGGTAAAACAGGTTATCAATAATCGGAATCAGACCAAAGGTGAGCATTACATTTAGTGTACTTGTTACTTTACACAAAAAAAGCCATCATTATTAAAAGAGGGTCATCGTTCATTATGAGAAACACATTGTAAACTGCCTAATTGTAAGAGTCCACATGCCCCTCTCCGAGAATGATCAGCCTACCTTCAGATCTCCTACCTTCAAATGCTCAGGTCTTCCAAATGCTTCTGCGCGGCGCGCAAGTGCTCGTTATTTTTCTTTTTGCAACTCTCTTCAAGTGAGGATTAAACACCCGCCCGTCACGACCTTCGGCACACCTGAGACCTGTCGACTGCGACCTCTGCATCGATTTAGGCACCTTCTGTACCTCCACGTCCGCAAAATCTTTCACTTGAAATCGCAGAAAATTGTAGAACTCCATCGTTTGTTCCGTTCCGTTCCACAGACCACTATTTTTCGTCTCGAGCAAGGCCCACTCAAACAAGCCATAGATGACTCAAGCACGCCATGTTCTGCCGGAATCAGTCGTGCATTTGCGAGACGAACACCGGGAATGCATCCATATCCTTGCTGATGACATCTAGCTTTTTCGTTCAAACGGTCAAAACTCCCTTCCTCTACATAGGGACCTGGGTCTGTATACTATCAGACCTGCCACAGCTGAGCCAAAGATTCAGAATATTTGCAAACTAGATCCAAGAGTACGCTCGGAGGGCTCCTTCGGCAGTAAAATGAATACAACGACACCAACATCGTTAGCAAAAAAGGTTATTGTTCGTTGTGCGAATGTCCTTGAATGATTTATAATAGAAGAACCTAGTCCTTGTCGATAAGCAGTGTTGCAGTCTGTGGAGGACCTCCGGCATTGCGACTACTACACGCGGGTGTTCGTTCGCATCTTCCACGGTCAAACAAATATCAGACCATTCGGGCTGACACGCGATACTCCATCCGAATTCTATTGTTTTCGTTGTATCCCACTGCCATCCACTTATCAGTGACTTATCAGTGAACTGCAACACCACTTTCTGTAAGCTAGCCCTGTCATTCTAAAAACGTGTAAACAGCGGTAACGAAATGCATACGCTTACCCGATGGCCTCTGGGTTAATAGCCAGGAACGATTTATCCACGATCCTTTGTACCTCGAGACTTATGGAGCTAGTGTCCCACCACGTCGCAAAAATCCGCGCTGCATCTAGCACGCATGCCACCGTTTCCTCACGAGCGGCTTGTGGGACCATCGACACTAGGTCTCCCACACGAATACTGCGACTGCAGTGACACTGATCGAGCTTGAAACTAGAGCGACCAATCAACGGCTGGAAACGGCTGCGCGTCACATTTGAACATCATATGAAGAAAGTATATGTTGTCGTTGACATCAAATTCATCAAAAGCCCTGAAAGACATGTTTATACCAGCACTGATTTGGCTGTCATTTGTATCACTTCCTTTCTCTCTGGTTTTCTTCTTCTCCTTCTCTTAGTGAGCACATTGACTGGCTCATCATTTATCTCCTTCAGGCACGTAATTATGAGGTCAAACTGGACGCGAATAGGGTCCCCATTAACTGCTAGACTTCTTCTTATAAGGCCGAGTTATCGCTGATTTCAATGACCCTAAAAGGATCACTCCAGTCAACTGTCAGCTTGGAGTGTTCAACCACGCACTTCTCCCTGGGCAGTTTCATGAACACTCTGTCGCCTACCTTGGGCTTGTGGTGTTGTTTACCCTTTCTTTTCGTCATAGTGTTGTTTCACCTTCTGACGACACCTTTCATTGTGCTGGTTTACTTCGTCTTGTATGAGCCTCATACGGTGAGCCTCATACGAATCAGTTCAATTTTACAATCATCCAAATCACTACGTCCCAATCTTACACGACTCTCTGGGACTGAGCTATATGGCAAAGTCGGGTCGAACCCATGAAGCAAGAAGAAAGGACTCTTCCTGTTGCCGTGTGTGGTGTCACGTTATACGCGTAAACCGCACTAGGCAACAGCACATCCCAGTATTCCGGAAACTCAATTTTCTTCTTCAGGAATCTCTGTATATTTCCGATGGCTCTACTCGCTGCTCCATTTTTCCGAGAGTTATACCCTTTTGTCAATGTTGTTGTTGTTGTGTTAATGTTGTTTTCTTCCCGAGACCTTCGCGAGCTCATCAACGAATTCAGTTCCTTGAACCATATGCAGTTGTCTCGGCCAGCGGCGTCCATCACAAATCCAGCGCTAGAATATCACATGTGCTACTGTGCTTGCTGCCTTATCCTTGATGGCATACGCTCCGAGCCATTTGGAAAACTGGTCGACCAGCCTAAGCACATATCTCATGCCACTTGCGCTCAAACCCATCTCCAGAACGTCTGCGCAAACACAGTCAGATGACCTGTTGGCCACGAATGGCTTTTAGGGTGGAGTGTTCCTTGGTTTTGGGTTTTCCAGGAAACATTTGCAGCAGCCGCGCGCCCAACAATGTCACATCTTTATCAATCTTTATCAAGGGTCTCCCAGAACACCTTCTTTTTTTATATATGTAGTACACATCTTCTTCGCTGAAAAATGTCCCGTCGGACACCCTTCATGAGTTTCATCAAAAACCGACCTACATTTAGAACTCGGTACCACGTGGGGACGGTTGTGCCATCCTCTCAAATGAGACTCAAGTCACCCTCCTCTAGCATGAAGTCCGCGACCTTAAACTTTCTCCCAAATCCTAGAAGAATCACTTGGTCGTCCAACTTGTTCTCCCTTCAAATTCTGTATCACAGAACCGTAGTTCTTGTCACATTCCAGTTCCCTTAGCCACTCGGATTTTGCTTCTTCGTTTATCATACAATTTTATATTCGCCGAGGTTCAACACCTCCTCCACCACTTTCCATCAATCGGTATACTCCTTGACAACGCATCAGCAACGGCGTTGGCGTTGCCTCGCAAGTGCCTCTAAATCAATCACATAGTTTCTCTCCGCCTGCGACAGTTTTTCTACTTGAAGAAAATGGGATACAAAAAGCCTTTTTTCCCTTCTTGCGATAACACTGCTCCAATACCTTGTCTCAAGGCATCCGAGTAAATCAAACACGGTTCCCTGCCGCGGTTAACTGCCATCAGCCTTTGCTTAGTTCCATAGCTACTAAAATGTTATCATTGTGAACAAACCCTTCCTTATCTTTCAAGCCACTTAGCACACTATCCATGAGCCTCTAGAATCGTGGGGACGAGGTACGCAATTCATATGGAAGCACTTCGAACTGGAAAAGCCTTTCCAATGTCATGAATGCGCATTTCCTTTCTCCGACAGCTTCCTCCGACATCGGTATTTTCCAATATCTAGTGCCATGTTCAAGGTGCTAAAACACCGTTTTCCCTCCAGGCTTTGGAAGAGGACATCAATCCGCGGCAACGGATATGCATCTTGCTTTGTACTATTGTTGACTTCCCTATAGTCAATGCACAATCTCAAGGAGCAATTCTTCTTTTTCACTGACACCATGGCGACACCCAATAAGATGATGATTCTTCTATGATTCCTACAACACCTTGGTCATCTTCTTGAATTATGAGCGCGCACCAAGCGGCACTGAACGTGTCCTTTGCCTTATGAGTGCGATATCGCCCTTTTTAACCTCATGCACCACTAAGCTGGTCTGCTTTGCTTGTCTGTTCTCCATAGTGGATACCGAATTGTGCGCGTTCACCAGCTTCCACAATTCGCTGTCGCTGTCACTGCCCGCATCAAGATTCCGCCTTAGTAACTCGTCCAGAAATCTCAGTCTCCTCAAGCTGCATCACCGGTTTTCCCAAGGTACGCATATTTGACGCCACAACTTGGGCAATAACTCGCGCGTGCTTCACACCTTGCTCCCTCACCGAGTTGCCTTCAGAACAAAGGGCTCTGTGGCTCTGTTCCTCATTGGAAGCTCCGTCATACCCTCTTTGATCACTCTGCAAATGCTGGCCAGCAGCCCTTCCACTCGAGAATGTAAATGTTCTCTCTTCACCGTTGTCGTCTGGGACGAGATCACTGAATAATGTGAGAAAAATCTTCAATGACTCCACTCCACAACGGCGCTCGGCCCCCAAGTTGGAATTTGTTGATAGTAAAAGGTGTTAGGTATTGCACGGTTCCATCTTTGTGAAGGTTCAAATTATGGGAAATCACTTTTTTATTTCACAACCGTTACAAAGCAGTAAGACAATATTCAATTTATAGCCTATGCCAGACTGAAGGCAACGATACAAGGAAAGAAAAACGATAAGGCTAACGACTCCCAGCTAAGGATGCTAATGTAGTCCTATTGAGCTCCTCAAAGAGAACTATAGTTATATCCACCAACTCACTACTGCAGCATTCCTCAATCCGGCAGGCGAGAGGGGGCCAGTGGGAGTTCTGCGAGATCTCGTGGCTGTCTGATTCATGGTTCCTTAGAAAATTCTGAAACTTATATCGTTATTCTATATTTATAGAGATATATATTTATTATTAGATT